GAGCCCGATGTGGGACTCGATCCCAGGACTCCGGGATCATGACCTGAGCCGAAGGCAGTCGCTTAACCAACTGAGCCACCCAGGCGCCCTATACTGTGAGGATTCTTCAAGCCAAATATCCTTTTCTTACCAATTCTTAGTATGTTTTTAGATACCAACTCTGCAGAACTAATATGTATGTGTGTGTGTGTGTGTGTGTGTATATATATATATGTGTATATATATATATTTGCTTTTAAAGTTCTTCACTTGCATAAAAAGTAAGCTCTTGTATCACTTTTATTTTGACCTTTTTAGCATATCAGAGAGTTAGCTACTAGATGTTGTTAAAGTGTTTTAGCCTTATATCAATCAGCATTTATAGATTGCGTTATTCCATAACTTCTCTCTCATGGTTTATCCTGACTCTGTATCATGCTTGTTTAGGTAATTCCTTTGTACAAAAACAGCTGAATTGCCAATTTAAACTTACACTTTAGCCAAAGGAGTCATAATGACTAAGAAGCTTTTGCTACATTACCATGCTTGTCGATCTGACGTAGATGTTGTTTTTCAGATGGCAGTTTCCGTCATTTGGCACCACTATGCCTGCCAATTTGCTATCAAGAGCAAGATGAGATGTCTGATCTGTCATCACCAGCAGCAATCTTTTAGCTTCTTTTCGCCATCCAATATGACTCTTAAAATAAACATGTAATTAGATCTTGTACAATAACATAGATCTGTACTGTGGTCTTTATCTCAAGAAACATTAAGTTCGAGTTTAACAAACATTAAGTCAGGCTGGAATGAAGTGCATAAATACAATGCTGTTTCCTAAATAGCACTGACTTTTATTTGTATATCCTCTATTTTACCACAGCCATTTGACTGCACCAACTCCCAGCTAGAGATTTCTGGTGTTTCCCCAGAGGAAGAACAAGCCAAGTTAATGAAGTGCAGAGCACCCAACACAATGTGGGTAGAAAAACAGGCTATTTCAGGCTCTTCCTTGGAAAGTGGTGAGTGAAAAGAGTACTCTTTTGGAAAAGATTTTCCAAGTGCATAAGTTATTTTTTCCCTTTCATATTTTCCTATTTATAACCCTCTTCCAATTTAGCCCCTCTGTCCTGAACACATACCAAAATGAATAACATTGGTGAGGAATAAGCATTAGAAGAATGTATTCTTCTGTATTATGTTTTCACTCTATAAATTAAAGAGAAAATAAAAATCTTAAATTCTGGAGAATTTTGCATCTGAGCAAAAACTCAATAATGGGAAACTTCTTACCTCACAGACAGCGGCCTGAAGCATGGCATCAAAACCTCCTTCAGGTGTATCTATATTTCCAGAGATCTTTTGTCTGTGAACCGCTTTTTCAAACTCAGTAATGTTCTCCGTCAAAGATAGCACATGGATGTATCCATGAGGAGGCATGCAGTCTAAATTGTAGTCACTATATGGGAAAAGAAGAAATGCAAATTCTGTTTTGCTATGGTTCATTCAAAGATTCAAAATACTATTCACAGTTAAATTGTGTGGTTTGGTGTAAGAAATGAATATACATATATAAAAATAAACATAAGTATATAAGATATAAATATATATAAAATATAAACATATATTTATATATTTTATTCCTATTAGTAAGTTCATTACTAAGAATGACAT